TATTTTGGGGGTGATTTGGGATATTTTTGGGGATATTTTTGTGATTTTTTTGGGATGATTTTGGGGTGATTTTGGGGATATTTTTGGGGTGATTTTGGGATATTTTGGGGCTACTTTTGGGGTGATTTGGGATATTTTTGGGGATATTTTTGGGATGATTTGGGATATTTTTGTGGATATTTTTGGGATGATTTTGTGGATATTTTTGGGGTGATTTGGGGATATTTTTGGGGTGATTTGGGGATATTTTTGGGGTGATTTTGGGATATTTTGGGGCCGGTTTTTCCCCCCCAGAGATGTACCAGATCGGGCAGCAGACGCGGGCACACGAGGGCAGCGTGTTCGCTCTGTGCCGCCGCCGGGACGGGACCGTGCTGAGCGGGGGGGGGAAGGACCGAAGGCTGCTCAGCTGGAGCCCCGCCCTCGAACTCCTGCACGAGGTCGAGGTGGGCACAGCCCGAAAAAACCCCAAAAAATCCCCCCTGGGTGCCTCCCCAAAAATTCCTTTAGTGCCTCAAAACCTCCTTGCCTCGAAACCTCCCTTAGTGCCACAAAAAACCAGCCCTGGGGACCCTAAAAATCTCCTTTAGCGCCTCAAAACCTGCTCCAGATACCCCCAAAAGTTTTTTTTTAGCACCTCAAAAATCTCCCCGAGTAGCCAAAAATCTCCCCGGGTAGCCACAGATCTCCCTTCGTGCCCCCAAAATCTGCCCTGGGTACCCCAAATCCTGCCAGGGCATCCCCAAAATCCTCCCTGGATCCCAAATCCCAAAGGGCTGCAGGATGGGGGAAATTTGGGGTGGGGGGAGAGAAGGGTTGGGATTTTTTTGGGGGGGTTCCCCATCTCCCCAGTGTTCAGGGGGTGCTGACTCTGGTATTTGGTTTTTTTTTTGGGGGGGTCCCCAATTCCCTGAGTCCTTCAGGTAGTTCTGACCATGAAATTTGGGGGTTCTTTGGGGTCCCCATCTCCCCGAGAGCTGTACAAGGTTCTAACAGGGGTTTTTGGGGTTTTTTTGGGGGTCCCCATCTCTCGGAGAGCTTTAGAAGGTTCTAATGATATTTTTGGGGATTTTTTGGGGGGTCCCCAGCTCCCCGAGAGTTTCGGCGCCGTCCGCACGATCGCGGAGGGTCCCGGGGAGGAGCTGCTGGTCGGGACCACGCGGAACGCGCTGCTCCGGGGCACGCTGGGCTCCGGCTTCACCCCCATCGTCCAGGTGGGCTTTGGGGGGTCCTGGGGGGGGTCCTGGGGGGGGTCACGAGGCGCTGACCCCCCCTGGATTCCCCCCCCAGGGTCACACGGATGAAGTTTGGGGTCTGGCCACGCACCCCAACTGCTGCAGCTTCCTGACCTGCGGCCACGACCGGCAGCTCTGCCTGTGGGACGGGCGGGAGCACGCGCTGGCCTGGAGCCTGGGGCTGGAGGTGGGGGGACCCCCGGAATGGGGAGGGGGACCCCCGAAACGGGGAGGGGGACACCCCAAGAGGGGCCCGGAGATCCATCTGGGGGGGGTTGGGGGCTGTAATTGGGGGTACAGGGCTCTGGGACAACGGACCGGGGTCACACCTGGGCTGGAGCCTGGGGCTGGAGGTGGGGGG